TCGTTTCAGGCGTCGATTCACTGTCAAAGAATACTCATTAGAGAGTCATGTAAGGTAATCAACATTTTTGCAAGTGGACAGAAATCTAGAGGAGACTTTGAATTTAAAGTTTTGGTTGGCCAACATGTCTGTCGACCACTTTTTCAAAGTGAATGATGAGGAATTAGGATCTGCAGTTGTCAATCTTAAAAAGTGCATAACTTCAGAGGAAAAGATCACAGAGGGCTGAGCGACGTCTCATTCTATATAGGGCACTTAACTGTATATTGTGGCATATCTAACTCAAAAATCGAAAGTCTTAGTTGAAAAGAGGGCGAGAAGTACTCTTAAACAAATTCAGTTTTTCAATCACAATCAATGGATGGTAAAGATAATTTTGTTCTACTAGTATAAAATCTTACAAGATCTTATAAAATCTTGTGGAAAATCATAGAAACGGATTTATCTTATAAAATCACACAAGACTCTTACGAAATCTGATGATATCTCACTATAAGACCTTACATCAAGAATCAGTTTCTATGTTTCTTACAGAATCTTACAAATTCTTATAAGAATCTTACGAAATCAGATGAAATCGTACAAGAATCTTAACAGATCTTACAGTAAGATTCTTTGACCTGGGAACGGACATCTTGTTTTAATGTGTGCACGCGCATGTTTGTTTCTGTTCTGTCGCTACGCACAAACGCTTCGTGTGCTGTGCTTCTAATCTACGACTGAGTTTATAACAGCATTATTTTCTATCTTTTTCAACCTTGCGTGACGCTCTCTATGTAGCACAATCATTCTTAGCCTTTCGGGTTTTATGAAACAGAAATAACAAAATGAGAACGTGGATGTATAATTACATGCAAAAAATTTATTAATTAAAAATGATGTGTTTTCACTGGTGAAAAATTAATTATTTAGGAGTAAAGTTTTAGAAGATCACTTTTTAACCATATTTGAATGTGATATGGCGTCTCAGTCTAATAACTATGCTGATTTAGTTGGGCAATATAAACGTGATGGTTTTGTTATTATAAGAAATGTCTTAGATACCAATTTAATTCATGAATGTCAACAGCATATTGAACATTTACAACGAAAATATCCGGATGTACCGAGTGAACACTATCATCATATTATAATGAGAAATGATCCATTTTGGATACGTTTAGTTTCTGATGAACGATTGTTGAATCTGGCAACAGTATTTGGTTCACCATTTATACAAGAAAAAGAAGGAGTTGCTATATTTTCATCGCATTATTTTTGTAAACCGCCAAAGACAGGGATGGCTGTACTATGGCATCAGGATGGTAATAATACTCAGACATGTTAAGCTTTAAAATATTGATTTTAATTTAATCAGGTTCATACTGGCCACTGAGACCAATGAACGTATTAACAATGTGGTTGGCTATTGATGATAGTGATACAGAAAATGGTTGTCTGAGGGTTATAAGAGGTAGCCACACGAATGAATTAGCACAATTAAAAGATGATGTATCGGTCGTCAATGTATTAGGCAGTTACACACATAGAGATGAAGATATTGATCAAAGTAAAATTGTGGATGTTGTTCTAAAGCCCGGAGGTATGGGAACAAATTTATATGATTTGTTTACAAAAGTCAGAGAAACAACCATTTGTAGCGCTTGTGGAATGCTTTTTGCCTAATACATAAAAAATGTCCGCTTGACTAAGTTTGTGTTTGGATATAATACATTCTGTGAGGAGAGAGAGGCGGAAGAGAGAGCCCCTAAAAAAGAGTCTACTAAAGATATAGCACAATAACTTTTTCTCAGGACAAAATTTTTTCCGAAGCGAATATCGTTGTTTTTCTCATATGATACAAAAACATCAGTTTGCTTTTGTGGACAAGACTTTATAGCACTATAGGTCAAATAGAGTCAGAAGTATTTTTCTCAAACGGCATGTCATTAGATACAATACTGTAGGCGGATTACGAATATGTGATTTATCTTTTAAAAAAACATTTTATCGGTTCGAAAATTTGATTACTGCCCAAAGATCAGTTTTAAAGCCTAGAATTGTTGTTCTTTAAGCATTTTAAAGAATCCAAAAGACTTTGTGTTCACTATCTAATCTTCAAGTCTTTATGACAACATAATATTTCTCTGAGACGGAAATTCTGGGCACGGAGTTGTCTTGCCATCGACACATCACCTGGAGCTCGAAAGTGAGACTGCAAGTATTTTGAAAGGTTTGGTCAAGCTGACGAGTCTGTTTTATTTCAAACTACTTGCTTTAATGCATTCAGTTTTAGAGATATTATGAAGTTTAGAAAGAAACATTTATTTAAAGATGGAATTTGGGCACCATTTCGGCATAAGGCCGGAAGAACTGAAACTTGGAGAAAGTTTTAATGATTACTGTGGATGATGAACAAAAGTTTTTGACTTTGTAAAACTAATACATTCATCTCACATCGCTCTCGTAAAAAACGATTATTAAAGGCTTTATTGTTTTCTCACAGAAGAATTATATTGTATGCTTTCTTTATCTTTTATCTAATTTTAAAGATATTAGTATTCATCATCCTAACATTATTCATGGTTCTGAAGCAAATACAAGTAACAGGAGAAGATGTGGGCTAACAATAAGGTAAGATTATTTATAAAAGAAAAAGTCAAAATCCTGATTGATAGTGTCCATTCCTTTATTCAGATATATTTCTCCAACAACCCAATGTTTAGACCCAAAACAGCCTGTAATGATGATGCGGGGTTCACCTATAGATGGTATTAATAAATATCGTAGTTGGCCAAAGTATCGTTCAGGTTATGATTTGCCATTTGATGGATGCGAAACGTGGAATGAGAGAAGAAAGATTGTTGATGAAGATGAAGAATATTTTCAAAGAACTGATTACGATGTAATGGAAAATGAAATTAAAACTGATTTATTTGAATTTATTTCCAGATTAGGTGGAAAGAAAGCTGCGAATTGATGTGAAGAAAGAATTTCGTTTGGTCATTCATTTTTTTTTTTACATAAAACGAATGGTTTAATTTGTTCAAAATTCTACTAATTTCCGAATAATACTGAAAAACTACCCAAACATGATTGTTCAGACTGAACCTATTTTCTAGTTCTTTTGATGTCCATTTCGGAGTTTCTCGTTCAAAGAAAACCCAAATCCTGAAGGGCTTATGACAATAGCTAAAACATTTTGTGTAAACGATAGTCTATTTCTTTACCAAAAAGTCATGGATACACAATAGCACAAATTTAAAGAAATTAAATTAGTACAAAAAATGAATAATGAAACACACGTGTTGCTGCATACCCATATAACTAAAAAGAGAAACGACAACAATAACGAAAAATATGAAATACATGCAAGGAAGAGAAAATGCTTTTGAACAATGGAGTTAGCATTCACATATTCAACAATTTTACTTGCGACGCATTATGTCGATAATTTTCTATCCTTGAAATATCCCTTTTTTTATGGACTAGTCGAACCACAGCCACTTTCAAGGAGACGGAAAGATTCCCGTTTCAAGGCAAAATTAAAAAATCCTTAAAAATTGTTTACAAATGATAGACTTACCTAGTTTCAATACCGTTAAAGAAAGATCATCTCGTCCAGAAAGAAGTCACATGATTTTGATTTTTGATGATTTTCATCTTCATCATGCATTCTGATTTAATTTTTCAAATATTTATAGATATTCGGCTAATTGTTCTACAGTAATCTTCCTTGTACCCAGTGTATGATCTTCATTTGATTTAGCAATTAATGTTTTAATAACATGAAGTTCTTCACTTCCTTTAGAAGTTAGTTGTTCGTTGATTATGATGTTAGAAACTTTTACTTCTAAAGTACATTCACACACTTCAATTCAGATCGAAGTATATTGCGATTGTGCAAATTTTTAATGAAATAGTTTCGTTTCTTATCGAATTTTGAAAGCTGTCAGATTTTTTCTATGGATCTGATTTTGTCTTTTTCTTATTTATACACGAAGATCTGGTCTCATTAAAATTATGTACCCAAAAAATTAAATTTCGATTTGTTTTTGACGTTCAAATTTGTCATTTTCATAAGAAGTGTGTATGTGTGTATTTAGACACAAACTTTTCGAAAAAGTATAAAATAAAACTGTTCATTTATAGCAGATTAAATTTATCAAATATTGCACTGTTGACATTTCTCTTGTTTACCAGTGAGTCAGTTCATGGAGTATCTAGATTTGTTTGGTCCGAGTTCCGATGAGAAGCGCGACCTTATCATTTCGACAATCTTGGATTTATAAAATACAGCATAAATATAACAGTCATTTGAATACTTTGATGAGAGATGTGATGTTGTACCATCATATTCAGGAAAATAATAAAGCATAATAGAGACTAAAATGCCCCGGTACGTCTTGATACTTCTGTCGATTTTAGCATTCCAAAGAAGTACCTAGAAACAAAAAAAGCTAACAACTCTCAAGAGGAACAAATATATTCTCTGGATCCTCTTCCGACCGGCAAAAAAAGTAGACTTCTGTTTGATATCCAGAGATGTCACAATCCCATTACAGTGTGGATTCAAAAACGACTAGGCTCAATCCAGCTATAGAACATCGCTGCATTCACTTCCATCTCGACAGGCACTCTCTACGATAGTTCTACTGTATTACAGATTCTGTATTCACTTGTTGTGTGTATCTTCGATAGAGTTGAGGGATTCAGCCAGAATTACAGCAGTTCTGCCAGAACTCACTACATATGCTTTTTCAGATTCAGATAACCTCTATGAATTGTCAGATTCTGTTCTATTCTGTACTATCGACAGAAGTATCAAGACGTACCGGGGCATTTTAGTCTCTATTATGCTTTATTATTTTCCTGAATATGATGGTACAACATCACATCTCTCATCAAAGTATTCAAATGACTGTTATATTTATGCTGTATTTTATAAATCCAAGATTGTCGAAATGATAAAGCTTCTCATCGAAACTCGGACCAAACAAATCTAGATACTCCATGAACTGACTCACTGGTAAACAAGAGAAATATCAACAGTGCAATATTTGATAAATTTAATCTGCTGTAAATGAACAGTTTTATTTTATACTTTTTCGAAAAGTTTCTGTGTCTAAATACTGTCTTAACTTGTTTAGTCTGATTCGCCTCCAGGCATCTATCATTGCTAAAGGCTTGACCAGTTCACATTTTTTGTTTTATCTCACAGAAGAACAGGATGATATAACTCTTATAGTACATAACAATTCTTAATGAAAGTTCATCTCTTTTCGTTCAATACTCTATTTGTCAATGGTACTGGCAATTTCTTCTCATCAGTTATAAGATTCAGTATTATTATTGCATCTGTCTTGGCTATATGCCAACGAGTAACGCTTTCTAATTGGATTTGTCGTGACCGCTCATAAATGTACATGAACCTATATTCATTTGAGTGATATATCTGTACGTCCTGTGGAGTACAGTGTGTATATATGATATTCTCTACATAAAATAGAACAGAAAAGAACTTGAGCATAACAATCATCATCATAAGAAAAGTTGTTCTCCTTTTATATGAATCGAACATACATATATGAAAAGAGTTCATTCATTCATTCATTCATTATTTGATAGTTAGTCTAACGTCATAGTTTATGCATTGTTATCCATCTGCGACATCAGAAAGAACAAAACACATTGAAAAACTTGATCGAATATTAAACCATCTTTTTTTAACCAACACGGTATCGACCGTTCTTTTTAGATTAAATAGGAAACAATATGGGAGAAAAAAGAAAATCACGTGTTGTTAAAGAAAGGTTCGTACTGGATCTATCTATATTTCGGTGTTAATAATAAACAGCTGAAATTCATTTAGACGAACATCGAACGTCGTGAAAAAGTCAAAAATAACCGCTCAATCAAATGAAATTGAAACGGTATGTTTTAATTTTTTCATACATACCCTCCTCCTCTATTCGATACACTGAGAAACAGACTAGGCTGACATAAATTGTGCGTTAAACTTCGCTAGTTTATCGCTAGGCTTTGAATCATCATCTTTTATCCACGGTTAACAACCATTATTTTAATATCATATATGTTAGTGTTTTTTATTAGGTACGCAATGGACAGATGGATTCTACGAGTGATGCTCTCCATCAACCATTGCTATCAGAAGCAGTATCTAATGTTTCGATTAATGGTAATAGCGTAAATGGAAATGGTATTTTAAATCATGAGGAATATCAGCCAGTTATACCTTATGATCATGACGACGTGGATGAACAAGAACATGTCCCAAACGACAAATACGATCATGAGAAAACACATGATGAGAAAAATGGTGGATGGTGGTCATCCGTGGCGAAATTATTTAAATTTGGTAATAGTTCAAAATCAAAAGTTGACTGTTTAAAAATGAATAACAATGAACGACATTATGAAGAAAATAATAATAATAGTCAAACGAATGATGAAATTGATGGACAAGCATATGTAAGAATTGATGAGACCGATTATGTTAATGGAAGTTATTTGGCAAATGTTAAATCACGAAGATCATTGAGAGATTCTCCAACATTTGTAGCTTAATATCTATTTCGTTGTCACGTTCTTATCAATTTATAACTCCAAAAGGATAAATATAAAATTATTAATCTAAATAGTAACTCGACTATTTTTAAATTCTTCAATATTACGTTTTTTCTATTAAAAAAGTAGATTAGCTCAATTATATGTTCAGTTTTCTTTTTAATAAAAAAGATCCGCAATCTGCTTTGGCTTAAAGACAATAATCGAATGTTTTTTGTGTTTTTAACTAGATGTTTAAGAATTAAAATAAACTTCTTACGTACATTAACAATTAATTGACTTCCTATTTCCGAACTACCTTACAAATTGATATTGTATTATCTAGAATAAGATCTTTGAAATAAACAACAGAGGAACGCTGAATGAAAAAGAGAGAACACACATCCTGCTGTTTACGCACTTTATTCTGCAATGGAGATATGATTGTTGATTACATTCATCCTGTCACACTAATTTTTTGATAATGGGGCTAAAAGGAAAACATTGACTTTTTAAAGATCTTTTCACTGTCTGTCAGCGATCTATTTTAAAGTCGGAAGTAAAGCATGAGATATTTACTCTGCACTGAAGACTTAAACGTTGATGTTCAGATCACTACTAATTGTTCGAATTCTTTCGTTTTTCTATCCTCTCGTATGAAGAAGTAAAAAAGAATCTGTCAGCTAAAAAATGAATATGTTTCTACAAAGATTGTATGGAAAAATAATTTAATTACAATATCACTAAACAAAATCAACAAAAAAATAATAATAAATTAATTAAATTTGAAGCAGTGACTAGTCAGCGTATATTGCAAAAAGAAAACGGTACATAAAAAAATAAAAATCATAAAAAAAAGAATTTGGACCGTATAAGAGGCTATCTGCTTAATTAGCACGAAATTCGTCGCATATGTAGCCAGGAAGACGTTGATCAAGTACCTAAAATAAAGAATGTACTTAAACTGCTGTAAAAGAAAAAAATCGATAATGATACACTTGTGAAGTTGTTATAAACGACAGAAGCAGATCAAAATGATTTTCTTGTAATCATTCGATTTTATTAACCCAAGTGAAAAAGCAGTCATCATCCTACTCATTTTTTAGTCAACAACTAACAGCGTTATTCAAACGTATTTACTTTAATCGATAAATCACCATGATGTACAAACATGATGAGAAAATCGAGCATATTCACGGCTTCCACTGGAAAATCAGCTTGTTTTTGTCTAAAACGAAAGAGAATTACACAAACGAATATTGTTATTAAAAAAACTTACGATGCTGCACTTTCTACATAAGATTTAATATATTGACATAAACATGTTAGATAATCTTCAATTAAATCCGAATGATATTGTTTTGTCATTGTATACAGTCCAATGACAAATGCTGAACTATCCATATCTTTTTTTCCACTTGATGAACTACCACTCGATGCTGTTTGACTTTTCAAATATTTCAACGTAACAAGACGTGGTACTTGACTTATGGTAAATAGAACAAGCAATGGGATTAGAAGTGAATGATTTTGAGCCGAAACATAAACACGTTGCAAAATATCATTAATGCCCGTTGTTTCTAATAGTGGACTTAATTCATATAGTAATTCGTTCATCTCGCCAGGATACGTTAGACCATTCTCACCACAATATAAGTGTTGAATGTCTTGAAGTAGGGCACTAAATAAAACAACAATAGACCCTTATCTAAAGAGCAGATGTGTTTAAACATACTCATTGAATGTTTTCAACGCGTAAAACAGATATTTTGAATCATATTTTGCTGATGCTGTTAATTCATTTGCAATTTGTCGTCGTAATAGTTGCATTTGTCCGACCTATTAATTAGGGTAGATTAGTAACAGCTCGAAGTAGTCAGATTATCTACCCTCAATAGATGGTTACTAAGTACAGGCCAAGCTTGACTTCCTTTAGCTACAAAATTCGGATACAATCGATTTGTTTGAGCTAAAATAGAACTCTTTCTGAATATGAATCGATATTAACGACGGTTTACTTACTAATGAGACTATCAATAGGCATTAACTGTCGCTGGAATGAATCAAGCATGTCAGCTGACTCACGTTGAGTAAATACACTTTGGATTGTGTCAGTTAACACTTGTAATTCTTTAACAATCATAAATGATAGCAAGCGATCAAGTCCATTCAGGCCGAATGAGCCAACAGCTCGGTGAATTTTACGAAATAATAAAATGTCGACAATGGGCTGTTTTGTTCGCCAGTCATACCATGTATTACGTTGTTCAGCATAATATGTTTGCTTCGGATCGGTAACGCGAAGAATTTCTCGACAAAGACGACCCATGAAATTTACAGAACCATCTCCTAGCGGGGCAATGCGCGGTATAGGAATGTGTCGATTTTGGAATGAACTTTGAAAATCATACACCTATAAACTAAGATATTGATGCAGGATGTAATTAGTAAAAGCTTTTGGATACCTTTTGTTTTAAAAAGCTATTTGATTCTTGTTCAACATTATAATTGATTATTCTTGAAACTTCTTCTTGCCAAATTTTTAGGCCATATATACTAACATAATCTTGAACATACTCAAACGAACGACGAAAACCTTCCATTTGTATACCAAGAGCGTCCAGTTTGGCAATCAATTCACTTCCCTAAAAAAAACAAGAACATGTGATACGTATTATTTTTGTCTAAACCGCAATTTACCTTAGCACGTGGATTGAAGGTTAAACCGTTGTGAAGAGCTGTTGCTACTTGTTTGACTAACTCTTTGCGAATGCCGTCTTCAAGCACACGTTTTGGATCAAGCTGCAAGAACAAAAAATAACGATCATTCCGATGTGCAGCTATTACAGAATTTACTTCGTACTTTGACTATGCCAACTAATGTTGTTTTCATCATCAACATGCCTTCAGTGAATACAGATATGTCGTGTGTCAGTTTAGCCACCTGAAATTACAAAATTATCCTTAGTGAAACGTTTCATAGTTACCAGAGGAGTCGTACTTGATAACGTTCATCTAATTGAGCATATTCACGTAGCTTATCTTTTTCTGCACGAAGAGGTAATTCTTTGAGTGTATTCGTTTGTAACTGAATAATTTTAGCCAACATAGTAAACATTGTTTCAGGAATGATTTGTAAAACTTTTCGCACGTATGCAACCAATTCACCAGAATCTACACCACAAGATCCATCATAGTACAATCCAAAAATACTGAATGGGGAAATACCTACAATACTGCGACACGGTCATCAGATCTTTGCTACCAACTTGATTTATTCGAACAAGAGGAAGGTCAAGGGCAGAAGAAAGCTAAAATACGAAAACAAGATATGCGATACTCAAAGAAAAAGGGTGTATTGAAGACTGACTACCTTTAGAAAAGTAGCACGTAATTTTGTCACCAACGATGGATTTCGCTTGATACCTTGCTGCATTACTAATGTAAAGCTAAACAAACATATTCAAGGTAAAACTGTATTGTAAAAATGAAGATTTGAATATTCATCGGAGGAGGACTTATGAGGGAATCTATGGAGATGATACCCTCCGTTTTCCACAATTTATAGCTCAATCGATAGAGTATATCGAGGTAGTAAAAGCCCTATAAGGATTCATTCCCATGGTGCTTTGTTCAAAAGTTATAGCATTTTCTTGTTTTCAAGTCCCTGGGGCTCGAAAGCAGTAAAACTTCAATAACTCAGCCAAAACTTTGCTGAACTCTCTGTAACTCAACTAAAACTTTCTATGACTATAGTAGGTATCTTGCACTACTACAAAAAAAATGTCAGCTTTTCGTACCGTGTTTTGGCTGAGTTATTGAACTTTTACTGTTTTTGACCGCCAGGGGACTTGAAAACGAAAAAATGCTATAACTTTTGAACAAAGCACCATGGGAATGAATCCTTATAGGACTTTTACGAGCTCGATACACTCTATCGATTGAGGTGGAAATCGTGGAAAAGGGAGAGTGACACCTAAATAGGTTCTCTCGTTAGAAATTTTCACAGTTAATATTTGGCCAACTGGTAGAATTGGAGTATTTTAATACGACATAATGTGAATACAGAAATTCACATTTAGTCGCTATTCAGTATTGTTTAACATCTATATTGCAATGTAGAAAATATAGAAAAGTATTAATACCTGTCAATAATGATCCATGCATAGGATAAATCGGCAACAAGTTCCATGATTGAAAGTGTTGATTCTTGTACATTATTCAATAATATCATTGTACTTAATAAGCGTTTATTATCATTTAGAAATTGTTTTACTTGCATATTCGTGTCTAATTCGTGAAATTGCTGAACTTCATCTAAAGCTGTCATTATTTGATTTGTTTGTCGCCCTGCACTTGTCCAATCATCAAAATCTAATGTTTCAATCTTTTTTGCCACATTTCGAAACCACGCTTGAAGATTATCTAAAAAAAAGATCAACGATACAGACAAAAACAATGAATGATACACTCGTTTCCATACCATTTTTCTCGACACGTGTCAATGGTTTGGCCCCAGAAAATACATCCGCTAATTCTAGTAAACGTTCAATTGCTTCTCGTTTGTTTGCATTCCATCGATCATATTTTTCTACAAGCAATTGACTGACAATCTAACAAGAGAAAACAAATATTAATTGACATGTTCTAATAACGAACGGACGATTTACTTCTTTTAAATTGAACTCAAACTGAGCTGTGTTCAAAAGTAATTGAAATACTTCAGCAGGATTATAATGTGCTTCACTTATCGTTAAATTCAACATTTGTTTACAACGTTTATTCGTATCAGCACCTATTGGTAGTTCACTGGTGTGTAATATGATCCATCGAAGACAAATATTGCATTCCTTCATAAACCGAAGTAATTGTGAGATGTTTTTAAGCACATAATCTTCAATAAGAACACCTTCTGTCAAGTACTGTTCCACTTGTGTATTTAGTTTTCCAATACTCGAATAAACTATTTGTGCCTGAAGCAGAAAAGTATATTCGTCTTTTCAATATGACTTTAGTTTGCACATACTCTGTTTTTAACCGCTTGTATATCAAGTGTGTTATTGAGAGCCGCTTTGGCTGCCTTATATTGATCCCATGCATCAATCAAATTCACCGTTATACCCATATACAAATTGATTACCTACGAAAAGCGAGACAATCATTTTTCAACTTAGAAATGAAAATAGAAAATACAATACCCAATTATCAGCAAAATGTTTATCGACAATTTCACGCATTACAGCTGGTTTATTGTGTAATATATCGGGGTAAAAATAAAGTAAAACGTAAATCATGGCTGCTTGCGTTGCAAACGCTGTTGTTTGATGTTCTAATTCTGTGTACGCTTTTTTCTGATTATAAATATCATCTGAACGCAAACGACCAATAATCATACCAATAATGTCTTCGCGAAATCCAATTCGTCTATAAACAAAAAATAACAAACATGTGCATATGTGGTTGACCAACTGAATATTCTTGCCATTTACTTGAAATAATTTTCTGGATAACCAGGTGGACGACGATACGGTTGCAGAGAAAACCCGTCGTTCCTTGCTAAAAGTTTTCCAACTTCGTCTATGTTACTATCGAGAGCATTTCGTTTGCCACTAAAAGAAAAATAATCCCTAGTCCACTAAAGATGTGACCCATTATAGTGAATATGAGCTGTAAGAAAGTCGTAACCCAGGGAAATTCAATCAGAGAAAAATTCACTTCGCTATTGTACCTGTATCGAAAATAAGAAACAATCATTCGTTCGCGAGCTGCTGCATCATATTTCAAGTCGAGAATAATCAACATCACACCAAATAAATAAACTGCTTCTGTCATTAATTGTTTACCAGCTTCATTTGCGATCACATTTTCGACTGTTTGTTGAAGATAAGTGCCATTCATTAAATCTTCAACATATCTTAGAATAATAAAATCATCCACCGGTAATATGTTCTTTTGAGAACCCTCAATCTGAACTAACCTGTTAAATTCAATT